ATGTCGAGGGGGTATTGTGTATGTTAGGTATTTCAGTCAAAAAATTTTCAGTCTTGGCCTTTTTTCCAACTTGCACCCATGATTAATATTGATTATACCTTAATGTCAATTTTACTTTTTTCGTATTTCGCCATATCTCTAGAACTCTTTAAGCAAATGAAAAAAAATTTTGCCCACAGTTAAAAAATTCGTTTATCCATGCACTGACTGCTATTAAATAATTATTTTATTTAATAGCAGTCAGAAAAAATTTTAAATTGTAAGGTATACAAATTTTTGCATCATTTTAAAGTATGTAATTTTACAAAGCGAAATTTGTCGAACCGTTCTGGAGAAATCAAATTTTAGAGAAACCGTATTTTTAAAATTCGATTCCTCCAGAACTATTTGACCGATTTCGCTCAAATTTTGTATTTTGCGATGTAAAATTAATTCTTTAAAATGATGTGAAATATTTCATACCTTACAATTCAAAATATTTTTTACTATTATTAAGTAAAATAATAAATATTTACTAAACGCTATCATTTTGTGGAATTAATTATGTTTGAGTAAATGAATTTTAAAATAGTGTGCCAAAAATTTTCAATTAGCTTAAAAAGTTCTTGATATATGGTAAAATACACAAAAAGTGTGATTAACATTAAGGGGTCAGAATAAGTATGTCTTTGTGTCTGATTTCCTAACCAAACTTAAAACATCAAATATGCTAATTAATTAGCATATTTGAGGTCCCCCGATTCAACAATCAAGATTGAGTCCTAGAGCGTGAACAACCGATCATTAAATCAAAAGTTATTCAGTGTGGTCCGTTTATTTTTTTTTCACACTGTACAAGCTTTATTAAACATAAAAACATTTTTTTTAATATGTAGTGAACCTCCAAGGGACCGAAATTTCAGTCCACTATGTTCGTTTCGCAAACAATTTAAACTAATAGTTCCAAACTCCCCACTGGGCCTGATGTGATGATTCCAGGGGCCCGATGCGCCCACTTAAATCTTGGGGGGGGGGGATTTTACTCTAAGTAAAACGAATAGTTAGGGGGGAATTTAGACGAGAGAATTTTTTTTAAGTACATAAATAAAAGAAGCAACTTAGCACTATTTCGAACAATCTAACATTGAAGGGGGAAGTTAGCAAAAAAAAAAATTTGGGGGGGGGGATGAATGCGCCCTAGAGCTTGGGGGCCTAATGATTCTAATCGAACTTTCTCAAGACCAAATCTGCAAAAATGTTGCTCTCCTGGAGTTCCCTTTATTTTTCTCCTTTTAGTTGCCTAATAAAGAGTAAGCATACATTTTATAAAGCTCTTTTTGTTTTTATGATTTGAGAATGTTGCGTTTTTGAAGAATCACCCATCTCTTGACTTCAATATTAATACACAAACCCTATAAAATTGTAATGATGATTCCTGCTTCCAAAGAATTTTTTTTATTTATTTTAGAATTAATATTTTTTAGATATTGAAATTATTTATATTGGAATTAATTTTCAAATCTACAAAACTGTATAACTTAATATTGCACCAACTCATAAAAATTAGTGAATAAGAAAAGGGAAATACACAATTCCTAACACAAAAAAAAAATTATTACACATTCATAGTTCATTGGTGCAAATTATACCTTATTTTGCATGCAAAATCTGCTTATTTTCCTTTTCTCCGAAATATTTATATATTAGAAAAAAAATAACATTATTTATTGCAGGTTCTTAAAACTCATAAATTTATTGACTTAAATTATGTATTTTAAAATTTATTCCAAATATTGAAGGGGGATAAAAAAAATTATTAACTTAGATTTCAACATCAGTAATGCCAATTCATCAAGAGGTGAATTCAAACATTTTCTGTAAACGAATAAACTCCTACGTACTTTGTAAAAATATCAGAAGAAACACACTTTCATGACAGTTTAATAACTTAATATGATAGAAGCCTTTGGGAGATTAAATAGGATTATTGACTCGGGTCTGTTTTTGGGTGTGTCAGTGTATTAATAGAAAACTAAAGCAGAAACCAAATTCAGCCCTGTATTTTTCGGAAAACGAGTTAAATATAAATAGTATAAAATGAGGCCAAGTACAAGATGCATAAGGTTACGCAAGTATCCTTTCCGTAAAGTGTTTCTATAGTTGAATAGGAGGGTTTCAGAAATAAATTTTTTCTGTCATTCTTAATGCTCATTTACTCTGAGGGTGGGTTTTTTTTTAATGTTTTTAATATCTTAGTTGTGGTGATGAATCATTTACCACACACTTAGGAATAATCTTTTAATGGTTAAATTGATGACTGGAATTGAAAATTATATTAATGGAACAAGGTTTAACATGGTGCGTAGCGTTTTTAAAAAGTGCTTATTTTTTATTTTCTTTTTTTAAAAGCCCTTAAATGTGCCTTTTTTATTGGGTGTTCTTAAAAAGTGCTTACTTTTCCCTTTTCAAAAATGAGATTTTTTTTCTTCTTTAGCCACATATAATGCTACATCCTGGTTTTCACATTGTTCCATTCAACGTTTTCACGATTCATTCTACCACAATCTATTTCGGCTTCCCGTCGGTCCATAGAGTATGAAAGCGGCAATCATTTTACATGTTTGATGAAATACTTGCGGGTCAGCATGCACGTATACTAAACTGGGTTCTGTGAGATTCTTGCACTCTCATGTGCAACTCTGCTGCATTTTGCAAGATATTATCAATTTCAGGCTTCATTTTCCACCCTCTGAAATCAAACCGAAAAATCTCTTTATCCTCTTATGGTGGCTAATACAATCAAGAAAAAGAGTTCTTTATCAGAAACTAGATATTTTATCACGATCATGTAAAATCTTTAAAAACTATTTTGCATTTTGTTAATGTATATAGTGCTTCAAAATATTCCTTTAGTGCTTAAAAGGTGCTTATTTTTTGTTGAAAGATTTGGCTAAGCACCCTGTTTAAGGGATTAAGAATATCAGAATTAAATAAAATTCTATAAGGGGTCATTAAATGTTTCTGAAACTTTTACAACCAAACATAAAATTGCTTTACATCAGATCATGTTTATTAAAAATATATTCATAATATATGCTGTCCAGATATTAAGTTATCGAACTGTAAAGATTTCAAGACTCGTATATTTTTCTCAGGACTTGTAATTTTCCAAGTAGCCTTACCGCAGGCCAAACCAAGATAACTGTTACAATTAAAGAAGGGGGGGAAACAATATTAATCCAAAGAAAAGGAGTTGACTACTACAGACTTGATAAAAGACTCAAATGTATGATTACCTAGATATCAAAATTGTCTCAACAAATACAAAATCATAATTCTTGACATGTTTCGAGAAAAAAATTTTATTACATGAAGCAGGCTTGCTTCATAAATTTTGGATAATCAAGATTTTACTAGTTTTTAGAAATTAACATTGAATAACTTAATCAGCAGTAGGCATTCTTTTTATTAATTCCTTTATTTAGGATCAAATTGACACTTTACAAATTTCGTTACCCATGGTTTAAAAAAAAACTAGCATAAATTAAGCATTAATGTGAGGGATAGTCATAAGTAGAGAACAGGCCTGAAAATTTAAATTTTCAGTTAGTAGGCAGTGGCTAGTTAACCCTAAGTAGCTACTTCAAACCTAATTAGTCAGTGGCCGATATTGATACGTCCTTTTAATTTAACAGTTACTCTTTGCAAACTTTTTTTTTTTTGCTTTGCTTAAATTATAATTTTAAAAATAATCTGCGGCCATGGAAAGTTAATTTAACAATAAAAATAATGTAAATATGTGGCAAAATTTAATTAAAACATACCGACTTTATAAAACTCTGTTTAAAAATATTTGGAGGAGGGGCAAAATACATTAGATGTATATGTTACCGGCAAAGTATGAAAAACCGGAATTCTATAGAATGCCTAGGCATTGTATAGCATGAAACGTCGGCATTTTATACAATGCCTAGGCATTGTATATAATGCCGGATGTTTTTGAGCAAGGTATGAAATATGAGAAATATTACATACTTTCTCTAAGCATTGTATACAGTACCTAGGCATTCTATAGAATGACAAATGCTATTTAAGCAAAATATAAAAAAACGTCCTGATGAGGTTATTATGTAAATGATGTGCATTTCTCAAAAAAATGTTATTCTGAAAAAATAATGAGAGTGCCATTAAGAAAAATTTATTCAAAATGCATAAAGAAAAATGAACAAAACATAATTTATGCCTTTCTTATTAAGGGAAATAAAATTTTCATATAAAAAATAAGAAATTAACCAACTTGTTGCAACATGGCAGGCTTGAATGACATTTTGACGAATCAGAGATGTATTTTATACTTTGCCGGTTTCTCATTTGGCATTCTATAGAATGCCCGTGAAATTAAATCGTTTCATACATTGCTGGCTAGTTTTAGGCATTATATACAATGCCTAAGCATTCTATAGAAAGCAGGATTTCAAACTTTGCCTTTAACATATACATTACAACTTTGAAATATGTAAATTTTTGAAAAAACTCTCCTTCCACATGAATCTTTCCATCACAAATTGATGGATTTTAAAGGATCAAAATTTTGAATGGAGACATTAACATTTGACAGTTAACAAATTAATGAAAATGGGACAATAGACATTTTAATGAAAATTCTGTATTCCGATCTTTTTTCATTCATGTACTTTTATCTTTGAACAATTATTTATAAATAATTTTAATTAATTATAATTGATTTTAATTAATTATAATAAACTTTAATTAATTATAATTAATTTTTAATCAATCTTTTAACAATTTTATTTAAGTCCCCACTGTTTTATGTTGACTCGCCACATGACAAATGGTTATTTTCAGGCCTAGGAAGGAGTATGCTAGTTTCAGTCATGATTTTGAAGCAGACCAGATAATTTAAGGTTTGGAAGTTAAATGAATTAAAACAGTACTTAAAACATTCCGGTAATTTAAAATATAATTTAGACAATATAAAAGCAAAAGATATTGTATTTACATTCACACACAAAAAAATAATTTATTATACACCCACATAAAATTGAGCAAAGTAAGAGATAAAGTTCCAGGTGGGGCATGAGTTTTTCGGAGAAACAGAAATCACTTGAAATTATCAGAAAAGTAAATATTACTCCGATGCAATATTTAAATATTTAATCTAAAAAAATTTAAATAATTAAAAACAAATATTTAATACAAATTTGGTACAACAGGCAATTTACAATTTATTATTTTCTGGATCACTTTGTTCAGCTACAGGCAGATCACTTTTAGGTGGGGCTTTGACTTTAGCTAAAATGTCTTCCTCGTCACTAACATATTCTTCCCAATTTTTCTGTTCTTCATTTGACTCCTGCAACTCCAAATGTTCACTATTTTTTGGAGAAATATTCTTATAGATAGCCATAGCCTAAAGAAAAATTATTAAAAGTCAACCACTTAAACAATAGAAAATCTTAGTTTTATGCAGCTGTATTAAAATAATTGAGCTAGTCTTATCACGCTGGACTTAAAAATGTCATAACAGTGTTAGGTTGGAAATTACACAACATCCAACCCTGGCCAAGCACCTTGCTCGGTTTTTAGGGTTATATCTTTTAAAAGCCTTAGTAAAAATGCCCCTTGAACAGCGCCTGTGCTGGTACCCTACTTTGCACACTACAACCAATCAAAGAGCTTTCAGCTCTGATAGGTTTAACATAAACCTTGTTGCATTTACACGCTGGTTGTTTAGTCAGCTGCCAGGAACTCTAGCTCTCTATTAGTGGAATGAATGAAGATTTTACTGACTGAAACAAGTCACTGGGAGATTTGTTGCACGAATATGAAAATTGTTTTGATAGAAGGCTAGATTTACTGCAAAATGCATAAAATTCTGAAAACAGTTTAGTCCTGAGTTGCAAATTCCACAGATTTATCTGCAGCAATTATACTTTAATTAATGAATATGAATTGTATTTAATCCATTTGGATTTGGTTCGGTATTTCAAAAATTAGAATTTTTCAAATTTAATATACTGCAACGTAACGAGAAAATTTAAAGAAATGGAGCTCCCTGCAGCATTTATTAAAAATTGTCTTGAGTTATGGTTAGATAACTTGTTCTAGTTTAGCCCAATCGATGATATGTTTTTTTCTCTTCTGATTTTTTAAAGTGACAGTTAATTTGTTTTTTTTTTTCCTCTTAAAAATTTGTGTATTATGTGTTGAAAAAAATTTTTAAAATAAATAAATTTGGTATTTTCTGCTCTTAATACCATATAGCCGAAAAATATTTTATGAATGAATGCTTATTACACAATTGGAAAAAAAAAAATACAAATTCAGAATCTTACATGAGAAAATCTAGCTTAATTATTTTTATATCAAGTTGAAGAAAAAAGTTTTATCAAGTGTTCAGTAATTTTCTTAGATAATTTTTATAACTTACTTGTGCTACCATAGAAGACATGTCATTTGTATTTGATGGCAAAATTAGTGTGGTACCAGTTTTTGCAAGTTTACTAAAAGCAGTAACATACTGCTCAGCTATGAGCAAAGAAGCAGCATTATTTCCCTTCTAAAAAATAATGGAAAAGAAAAATTTGGGCTATGAGAACATTAAATTTATTAATCAATCACAATTTTAAATTTATAGAAATAGAAGAATACCTTTTTCAATAAGGAATCTGCAACCATTTTCAAAGATCTAGCTCGAGCATCAGCTTTAGCCAATATAGCAGATGCCTCACCTACAAATAATTCATTATCTATTGTTAGTTTATATACCACACACACACAGAGGTTTTTTTTTATATATATATATATATATATCAGGGCTCGAAAAAAACTCAGAAATTTTACCCGTCCTCGAGGACGGCTTGTCCAACAATGTACCCGTCCTCCTTTGAAACTAACCCGTAGCNTAAATATATATATATATATCAGGGCTCGAAAAAACTTAGAAATTTTACCCGTCCTCGAGGACGGCTTGTCCATCTATGTACCCGCCCTCCTTTGAAACTAACCCGTTGTTTCTAAATAAATAAAAATATTATTTTCTCTTATTTATTACAAACATTTATTAAATTGCACAACGAATTAGTAGTTACTAGAATTACAAATACTAGGATTACATTAAACAGTTACAAAAGAAATACTAGGTTACTAATAGTAAAACCTAGTATTTCTATTATGAAATAATTTATTTCATTGATGAAATAATTTAAAAAACTAAGGTTAAGTTATCGGTCAATTATCATGTCAATTTATCCGATGGTACTGCGTTTTTTAAATGAATCAAATATGATGTTTGTCAGTTACACAATCAAGGCAATGATTTACAGAGGTTTCTGCACAGAAATCTGAAAGAGGTTTTCTATTTAGGTAGATGTTCATAAATGCGTTTAACGCTTCTTGTTTAAGACCAGTAAGTAATGTGTTTTTTTGTAAGTTCATTGCTGAAAAGCCCCTTTCAACCACTGCAGTACTCCCAGACAGAAAAAACATCAATTCCACCATGCGCAGTATGTTGCTGTATTTCGAGATTAGAGGGTCATTTTAGAAGTGAGGCGCTAGACTCTTGTAAGATTACAAATATTGAAAATGTATCACGAACATTAACGGGAAAATGGCCGTCCGTGCGGACACTGGATTTGAGAAATTTGTAGTCCGCGGGGAATTTCTGACCGCCGAGGACGGGCGGTTTTTCGAGCCCTGATATATATATATATATATATATTACAGTTTATACATGTATCACAGATATGTCACTGTGATCTTATTTTATTTTATAACCATCGTTGAGCAGCTGACTCTATTTTGTGTTTACGACTTTTAACAGTGTAGCCTTGGAATTTCATAACCCAATCCAGAAGACAATGGTACTCCAGGATCAAGTATCGGGAGAAATTTTGCCTTTGTGTAGGACTTTTTGACGGAACTAGCCCGCCTTTGAGTTGCATGGAGAGGAAAACCTCACACAGTTAGCCTAATGGCAAGGAGACTCTAACCCATGATCCGCTAACCACTGAGAATATTTTATGTCAGCACTGTGGTTGGTGCAAGCTGGATGCGGAATTCGTATCGCCTGTGTTCGCATTATTGGAAGACGAACGCCCTGTCTCCTGAGCAATCACGGCTCGTGATTTTCTCATTTTATTTTATTTTGAACCCATCGTTGAACAGCCGTAGCCTTGTAATTTTGGACCCAATCCAGAAGACAAGTGAACTCCTGGATCGGTACCACCACAGGTATTGATTTGTTATGGGAACATGAAAAACTATAAGACTCGACATATTTAACGTGCATCAGTCACCATTCACTACCATTTTCATTAATTTATTCTTCGGCTGGCGAGGATCGAACCCGCGACCTCTTGGACANAATTAATTTCTGTACTTAACAAACAAAACAAGACATAAGGGTTTTTTTGTGCTTAAATAATTTTCACACTATTTAATAGTTTTTCGTAGTCAAAAAATTTTGCCGTTTGCAACATTGGGGATTTTTTAAATCTTAGTTTTGATGAATAAGTTGTTTCTCTATAAAAAATTCATTCTGAACAAATATAGTAATGCGATGAAAAAAAGATAAGTGTCAAAATATTATCCTCAGTAACTTGTCTCCAATATGTGATTTTTTTTTTTTTTTTTTAATGTCTACATTTTAAAGTTTTTATTAACATAAACCATAAAATCTAGCTCAATAGAAATGATATTCTTATTTAAAAACGGACTGACTTAAGAAAAAAAAATCATGCTTGCAAATGAGGTTACTACAATATTAAAATGGCTGATTATGAGTTAATATAAAAATTTTGCACTCAAAAATCATATGAACAACAAAAATAAAGTTTTTACCATGTTTTTTTATATCTAAACAATTGTTTCTCTGTGTTTAAACAAGAATTTTTTTTTTTTTTTGTCAATTTGAAGTGTTGTACATAAATTTTAAAAGTAAAAAGATATAAAAAAGAGAAATTGTATGATTTATTTTCTTATACTTTGTCAATTGGTTGAAATTTAATTTGGATATTTAAAGTTCATTTATTATATCTTTTATTAATGAATATATAAGTAAAAACACAAAAAAGTGGCTCAAAGTTGATGATATATTTTCTAAAGAAATAATCCATGGCGTAGGTCACATGCTCATGTTTCCTTTAATAATTCCCTTTAATATATCATACAAATAAAAAAAATGTTTCATGAAGCTTCAATTTTAAATTTAATTAATTCAGAAACAAGATAGAAAATTTTCAAAAATATATATAATTTTATAGATTAAAGAAGTTTTTGGAACAAAAGAAACAAAAAAAGTGTTTCGTCCTCTTTAAAAATTGGGTTTCTGAGATGTCCATGGGATAATAACAAAACTACATGCAGAACTGCTGAAAATATTTAGCTATCACAATAAAGCTATCATAAAGTATGATACAGATTTAATGCTTTATGAAGTTTTTATGTAGTTCAAGATGCTAATTGATCATAAAAAAGTTCTTCAAATTAGAATTAGGCATACCTGCCAACATTTGGGAAATAAAATAACGGATATTTTACTAGTGACATTTTTTAAGCTACGAGTAAAGATTTGATACATCGTATACAATCATGTAAATTGGAAGCACTTACATTATAAAATTGGAATAAATCTGAATCTTAAAAAGATTTTTTTAAAACCATTATGTATAATACTTAAACTATAAACACTTAACATACTGCAGTACTGGCAATAGCATTATCTGTTGAGGAATTAGAGAAGTATTTTTGCCAATAGCTGATATTTTATCCCCAAATATTTTTTTTAAATTTTTTCGACAAATACGGAGAAATTTCAGAATATACGGGTAAACAGGAGATAGTCGTAAAATACAGGAGTCTTTGTTAAAATACAGGAGACTTGGCTGGTAATATCACTGGATTATAAAATCAGTAAATTAAAAAATGTAGCACATGTTTAATTAAAATGACAAATGTAGATTCAGTAGAAATAAAATATAAATGCAGTAATCAATTTAGCTTTTAGTGTATTTGTACAGTTTAACTATGAATTTGTTTTCTACATGGAATCTAAATTTTTCAAAATATTCAGGTTTACGAAATCAGCAACTTTATAAAATTAAATGTTTTCAAAACTGATGTGATTGAACAGGTGGCGGATAATGTTTTTCGACAAATCCACAATAATAAAGAGAGAGAGAGAACTTGTGGATGAAAGGTAAATTTTTCAAAAGGCTAGGGCCCACCCAGGGATATCGTACCACTGACGAAGAAGAAATTAAAAGGTAATATCAGCCTACTAACTTACCCTGAGCTTTATTGATTTTTTCTGTTTTTTCAGCTTCAGAGGATAAAATCCTGGATCTTTTTTTACCCTCTGCTACATTGATATCAGCTTCCCTGATTCCTATGCATAAATAAAATATTATTAGATTTTTTTATTTAATAATCATCAACACAAAATACGAACAAAGGTTTACACATTTTCAAAAAATTATGAACACAAACAGATATGCATTCAATTCTATTAAATACCCTTTCTCTGTATTTTAACATACATTAAAAAGGAATTGAAGTAAAAACAAAAGCAGGCAACAAACAAGCAAAAATGCAAATAAAATAAAAAAGTTAAAATAAATACAATGAAAATAAATGAAAATTTAAAAATTAAATCTAATTTTTTTTCCTGCTGCCTAACATTTTTAATACTATGTGCTATCCTAAAAATTAACTTCTTTGAGCTATCTTACAAATTTGCAATCTACAGAGAAAAGAAACACAAATCTAAAGAATTGATGTCAATATAAGCTAAAAATAAATGAAAATTTAAAAATTAAATCTAATTTTTTTTTCCTGCCGCCTAACATTTTTAGTTTTCATTTATTTTCATTGTATTTATCTTGAATACAATGAAAATAAATGAAAATTTAAAAATCAAATCTATTTTTTTTCCTGACACTTAACATTTTTAATACTATGTGCTATCCTAAAAATTAACTTCTATGTGCTATCTTAAAATTTTGCAATCTACAGAGAAAAGAAACACAAATCTAAAGAATTGATGTCAATATAAGCTGAAAATAAATGAAAATTTAAAAATTAAATCTAATTATTTTTCCTGCCGCCTAACATTTTTAATACTATGTGCTATCCTAAAAATTAACTTCTATGTGCTATCTTAAAAATTTGGAATCTACAGAGAAAAGAAACACAAATCTAAAGAATTGATGTCAATATAAGCTAAAAATAAATGAAAATTTAAAAATTAAATCTAATTTTTTTTTCCTGCCGCCTAAAATTTTTAATACTATGTGCTATCCTAAAAATTAGCTTCTATGTGCTATCTTAAAAATTTGCAATCTACAGAGAAAAGAAACACAAATCTAAAGAATTGATGTCAATATAAGCTAAAAATAAATGAAAATTTAAAAATTAAATCAAATTTTTTTTTCCTGCCGCCTAACATTTTTAATACTATGTGCTATCCTAAAAATTAACTTCTATGTGCTATCTTAAAATTTTGCAATCTACCGAGAAATGAAACACAAATCTAAAGAATTGATATCAATATAAGCTAAAAATGATCAGACTACAAAATAAAAATCATCATACTAAATGAGAATTTTTTTTTTTCTTTTGTGGCCAACTTCATAAGTTGGAAACTACAAATTGAAACTTAAATTTAAAATATAACCCAAGATAGCATTCATCTTTAAGTGAGAGGTCTACCAAAAGCTATTGCTCTGATGGATCTGTTGGCTGAGAACTTTAAACTGAAGTTGTATTCTTTGGTATAGCTGATTTTTTTAGTCTTTCATCTTGATTTTCAATTACCACAAAAACTTATCAATTTTTTTCATTACAAATTGATAGATTACATGAACATCTATGTATCATTTATGATTATTATTCATTGCATGATAATATCTATGTTTTGAGGATGAGCACCATAAAAAAATTTTTGGAAGGACTATTTAATACTGCTACACATTTATACATGCCATATTAAAAAATTAAAATCTACAACAAAAAGAAAAAACAACAACATAGAAACAATATAAAAGCTCCTCTAGTTCAAAGTAATATTGATCTTTAGGAGGATTCCACAGGGCATGTAGCCAGATTTTTCTCAACAAAAGATAAGTACCTCTTAAGTACTTTTTAAACACTCGAAAATATTTTTAATCACTTTCTAAAAAATATCATAATTAGCTGTGCAGTAATTAAAAAAAAATTTCTATTGTTAAAAGTTCTTAATTTATAAACATAAAATCAATAAAATTCAAAAACATTTTCAAAGTCGATACATAATCATGATAAAATAACTAGTTTCTGATAAATATTGCAGAGAAAGTTGTAGAAATTATTAATTTTTTGTAATTTAGAACAGCAATCGATACGGCAAAGAAAAAAAAATCCCTTTTGAAAAGTTAGCAAATTAAGCCCTTTTACAAACCCAGAATAAAAAAGTACCTTTAAGGACTTTTAAAAAATGTAAATAAAAAATAAGCACCTTTAAACACTTTTTAAAAACACTGCACTCCCTGGTTCCATATAAGCAAATGATTTTTTTAAAAAATAAAATACATAAAAAAAATACTTAAATTGAATGGAAAAATTACCACACCTTCAGACTCTAAAATAGCAGCTCTTTTCTTTCGTTCAGCTTCTACTTGCATTTGCATAGCCTCATTGACTCGCTGTGGCAATCGAATATCCCCTGAAAAAAATTGTATTCATGCTTAAGTTAAATGCTAATTGAAAAATAACACATATTCACATTTTTCAGCCAAAAATCTTGTTAATTATCCATGCTGAATTAGATTGGTTAATAAACTCAAATCTAACTCCACTTTCATAAATAAAATAACACAATAAAAATTTATGCTACAAATCAATACTGAATTTTTTTTTTTTATTTAAAGAAACAACAAATACAAACAAGAAAAAAAAAGTTTTTTTTTCAGGACTTATATTGCAGGATAATGTCTTAACAAAATTCAACACGAAAAAGTCAATCTGGAAAAATAAGTATAACACCTGTTCATTTTCTAAAAATACAGTGAATTAGAAAGCATTTATTCTAAATAGGTTTTTTAGAAATTGCAAAATAGAATAGTACCAATCAGGGTTCGAAAAACCGCCCGTCCTCGGCGGACAACGAATTTTAAGAATCCGACGTCCGCACGAACGGCCATTTTCCCGTTAATGTTCATGATACATTTTCAACTTTCGTTATTTTACAAGAGTCTAGCGCCTTACTTCTATAATGACCCTCTAATCTAGAAATACAGCAACATACTGCGTATGGTGGAATTGATGTTTTCTCTGTCTGGGAGTACTGCAGCGGTTGAAAGGGGCTTTTCAGCAATGAACTTACAAAAAAACACATTATGCACTAGTCTTAAACAAGAAGCGTTAAACGCAATTATGAACATCTACCTAAATGGAAAACCCCATTCAGATTTCTGTGCAGTATCCTCTGTAAATCATTGGCTTGATTGTGGATCTGGCAAACGTCATATTTGATTCATTTAAAAAACTCATTACCCTCAGATAAATTGACATTCCAGATAACTTGACCTTTATTTCATAAAAGAAATAAATTGTTTCATAAAAGAAATACTAGGTTACTATTAGTAACCTAGTATTTCTTTTATTACTGTATAATGTAACCCCAGTATTTTTAATCCTAGTAACTACTAATTCATTGTGCAATTTATGTAAATGTTTGTAAGAAATAAGAGAAAATTAGACTTTTATTTATTTAGAAGCTACGGGTTAGTTTAAAAGGAGGATGGGTACATTGTTGGACAAGCCGTCCTCGGGGACGGGTCAAATTTCTGAGTTTTTTCATGGCCTGGTATCAATATATTTAGCTCAAATTGATTTTGACTGACCAAATGATTGAAACACAGTCAACTCCCAACTGTCCAATAAAATGTGGTGAAAGAATAGGCCTGATAACAAATAGGCAGATAAGAAAAAGTTTCACATCCTACCTCGTCTCCCATTTAATTAAAAATACAGTGAAACCTTTCAGGAGCGATCACTCTCCATTCCACAGTAAAATGGTCATTGATGGAGGTTGGTTGTTATTTCAAAATTGCTATCAAAGGTACATGATGTTAGATTATTCAGTGTCATTTTCTAGGTACAGAAATGCCACTTTTGTTGGCGTCATGAAAAGACGGATAGATGAATAAAATTTAAGGACTATAAAAAATTATGCCAACTAATCAAATTATATGCAAGGTGTTTTAAATAAATAAACAATCATGTTTTTTGGTTAAGTTTGTATTTAATTTTACATCATAAAAATTTTAAAAGATAAGAAGAAAATTGTTAATTTGAGATGCTTGTTTTTTCTAAAATAACTTTTTTTTTTACTTTCAACTCTAAAAGTGAATCATTGATAGCATCGTCCTCAGTGCACTATGAGTGACTGCACTCAGTGACTGCAATATGAGATTGTATCCTCAAAAGAGCTCGCGAAATAATAGCCTCATATAAATATTTTGAATGCATTTTAATCTACTTATTTCCTTGTTAAATTTTTGTTTCGATATTTTTTGTGCCTCCTTACTCTACCTTTTTCACATTTGGTGCAGATATTTGTCCAGTCGCTGGGAGAGGAATTAATGGTCTCTCCTGAAGGTTTTCTTCAACACAAAGTCTATGGAAAAAATTCTGTGCTTCTCAAAAGTGGTCATAAATAGAGGTGGTTGCTACATAGAGGTGGTCTCTACATAGAGGTGGTCTCTACATAGAGGTGGTTGCTACATAGAGGTGGTCGCTACATAGAGATGGTCTCTACATAGAGGTGGTCTCTACAAGAGGTGGTCGCTACATAAAGGTGATCTTTCTGGAAGGTTTCACTGTACATGTTACACATCTTAAGATGGGAAGTATGTAATGATGTTATTATTTCAAAAATATTAATTTTATTAATAAGCTACACACATGTGAATAGTGAAGAGAAAAATGTCCCAAACTATACAGTTCTTACAAGTAGAATAGTTCTTACGATATATATCACAATATGAAAGTGTTGGCAACAGGCTACTGCTTTTATATTCCATTTCTTTCTCCTCCACCTCCCACGATAAGTTCAACAAAATGACTGGTTCCAACATAAATCTCTTTTACTAGTCCAAATACTACTTAATTTTTTTACATTATATAATCGTCGTTGAACAGTCGACCCAATATTTGGGTTTATGACTACTAATGTTCAACTCCGTCGCCTTGTAATTTTGAACCCAATCCAGAAGACAAGGGAACTCAGGGATAAAGTATTGCGAGAAGTTTGCCTTCATGGAGGAGTTTTTGATAGAATTAACCCTCCTTTGAGTTACATGGAGAGGAAAACCAAGAAAACCTCCCATAGTTAGCCTGACGGTGAGGGGACTCTAACCCATAATCCGTCTACCACTGAGTATATTTTACGTCAGCACGCTGTGGTCGGTGCAAGTTGGATGCAGAATTCTTAGCGACCAACCATTGCTGGGATTGAAACCTCATTGTCAGCTCATTGGAAGGTGAAAGCTCTATCACCTGAGCCATCACAGCTCAGTCCAGATACTATGGAGGACAGATAGTCCCAAGATGAATACTCAAGAGCCTACTGTAAACACATTGAAGAATTGGTAATAATTTGGAATGGGTTTTTTGCCACAATGAATTTTTTGCTCATTATAATGGGTACTTTGGAATAATCCCGTCGGTTTGCCAACGCTAGCAAATGCGCAAACACTTTGGCGTACTCATATAAAAAAGCAATTTCTAAAATAATCATTCTAAACACATTAATTTTATCAAATAATAATAATAATAAAATAATAATACCAAAAAAAAAATTTTAAGTGTAAAGAAACGTTGTTGTAGTTCATTTACGTCGCACTAGAACTGCACAATGGGCAATTGGCAGGGGTCTGGGAAACATCCCTGAAGATGATCCGAAGACATGCCATCACAATTTTGATCCTCTGCAGAGGGGATGGCACCCCTGTTTCAGTAGCCCGACGATCTGCATGCGAAGTCGAGCACTTTACAGTAGAACAGTTTAACGAGAACTGCTACCGCACTCCCTCGGTCCCTACACAGATTGATCCAAGTGGTCACCTACCAGTACACTGACCGCAGCCAGTGATGCCTGACTTTGGTAATCTGCTGGGAACCGTGTCTTAATCACCAGTCCACTGCGGGACGTAAAGAAACGTAATAAAAATAATCAAAACAAAGCAAAAACCTCTATTTTTTTATTTTTCATAATTACATAATGAATTATTCTTGAATGTAACCATCTAAACTATTATAAATCATTTCCACGACAGGAAATCCTTGATAGCTCTTAAAATGCAAATAATTGCCTAACACTCTTCTAGGGAAATTCCAAATTTGAAACATTTTGCAATGTAGTAAAGAAACAGCATATTTCAACACGCTAAAGAAAACGTAATTGAGGATTGCACAGTAAATAAGATTCAATTTTCAGTTATTGGTGCAGAAGCTACCTTTTGGCGATAATATCAGGTTTGGCCAAAATGGTTGACGTGATAATCCTAAAGTACCTTATAATAGTATAGGAATTTCACTACTACAAAACCAAACGACTATCCTCAAAAAAAAAAAAAAAATTTCTTTTCTGCAAGTTTTCTACTTTTAATTTATGATGAAAATGAGGTGCAAAACAATATTTAAAGAACACATTTACACCAAAAGTTTAGGATTTAACATTAAGAATGTTACTTACGGATTTCATAACGGAGACAATCAATCCCCCATGCATTGCTGGCTTTATTTATGGCTTCTGAAAAAAATAGAATAAAAAGTACAATTAATGAGCAGTTTTTAAAACAAATTATTGACTTTGCATTTGCTTACACTACAAGAAAAACCTTTACCGATAAACTTTTCTTAATTCTTCTATTCGTATTGATACACATATTTAACAAACTTACTTTAAGAAAACCGAATTATTTTTATATAACCATTATTTAAACCATATTTGTACTTTTTTTATCCTAGTTATTTTTATAGCATAATAAACCTAGTGGCAGAATTTTTTCGAGCTTTCTGCGACAATTCTCTATAATACTAATTCCTTTCTAAAAGACATTTTTATGTATGTTACTAATTTAAAGCAACAGAAGAGCTTTCTGTTTACAAAAAAGCCTTTATGTATAGAATAGAACAGTATATAATTTTTTTAACTATAAATACAAGATTTTTTTAAATCTAAGTATAAAAAAATACATATTCTAATATTATAGGAAATATTCTCCTGTTCTAAAAAATATTTGTATAGCTAACCTTTTTAAACTTTTGTTATTTGGAAATTACTTTTTATAGTATCAATCTGAAATTCTAGCTAAAGCCAGTCATTGCGAAATTTTTTTATTCTCAAAAGAAAATAGGAAGAAAAAAAATCACAAGCATTAATGCTTCTCCGATATGCGAGAAAAGCATTTTTTAAATATAATTCCGCAGAAAAAAGGAAAAAATGTTCTGCGAAAAAAACATTTCGAAAAATTCTACAGATAAAAAAACACAAATATCTTTGCTTTCCAAATAAAAAATCTTTCTGCAAGAACTCTGTAATGTTCTGCAACAATGTCGCCGCGTCACCACGATTCTGACACGGGGATTATAAAAGCGTTATAATATTATAACATATATTTTATAGTATTATAATATATATTTCATAGTATTATAATATATCCTTAATATATAAAAAGCATAGGAAATTAATAGTTACTAGAGTTAAAAAAAGTTCTAGTTATGCTAAAAATATTTATTGTAAACAAAATAAAAGTATTATTTAAGATGAAAACAAAGACAAATTTACCAACTATTGCAAAATTCAAAGATTCTCTTTCTCTAAATACACTATCAAGTGATATTTTTCCCAACTCAGATCGCATAGTGGTTTGAGCAAGTTGGGTAATTGCAAATTCTGGATCTTCAACACCATAACTAGCCTAAAAATATTTCAACATTAAAACTCATAAAACAAACATAGTTATTTCCTTTTACATTTTTCTACATAATAAAAATTTACAATACGAACAAATATAATTTTTTTTATATAATTGCTTTCATAAATTTCATTAAACAATAAATTATGGTTTTATTTCACAATTATTTTCTTTATTCCGCTATCATACAAAAAATATGGTTTTGTTGCATAGTGATATCCTTTATCTCATAAATAGCAGCATATTGTTGTACAAAAATAATGATGGAGCATTTCCTTGTACAAATATTCTATTAAATAATTATTTCATTGTAAGAGGATTCTATTAGGTAGTTATTTTCCTTATCTAATAAATAGTAATGCTTAATAGAACAAAATTATTGATGCAAAGTTTTAAAATTTTTACAAATACACTAAAATCTTGATTAATCGAGCCCCGATCTTTCTGCTTTCACAAGTTTCCAAGTTCCCCAGTTTCTGCTTTAACAGAGCTGTCAAATAATTTAGAGATTTTTTGCTTTACACCAATTTTTAAAATTATTTTAAAAAATTCTGAACTTGATCTCCAAAATACTTAATACCAAAAACAGGAAATCCAACATCGACATATGTGAATCTCACAGATAAATGGAGAAACAGTAATCAAAAGTGCTGTTGCATATATAAAACAAGAAGAAGCAACACCAGCAATCTTGTTATCTATAAAAAACTAAAAAAAAGAGCAAGACATTGCAACAGAAAAAAGCCTAAGCAACATAAAACAAAGACTGTTTTAAGTAAGAACTGCTTAATAGCAAAATTATTTAGATATGGTGCATATGTATGTAGAATTTTTGTATGTTTAAAATAAAAATTTAAACCTAAACAATTTTTTTTTATAATTTTCAGTTTAAACGAGTTTTCCAGTTATCTGAATTAGTCTAGGTTAATATTAACTGGGATAATCAGGAGTCTACTGCACTATAAAGTTTCTCCAATGGACCAGAATTTAGGATCAAAAGCATTACTAAATTATAAATACATTTTTTTTCATACATAAAGGCAATAAAGTGATAAGCCACATTTTTTTATTTTACAACAAACTGTTACGTAGTATCGCTTGCAGAAAAATGCTTGACAATATTTTCAAATGTACAGCTAGATAACTGCACGATACACAAAAATTAGCAACTTCAGAAACAAATTTTTTTTCTCACAAAAAAAAAGTCTAATTAAAATTTTCTTTTACAATATTCGAAAATCCGGTTTAGCATTATATATTGCCTCAAATAATTCATACATTAAAGAATTCACTTACATAATTTTCATACTTTTTGTACAATTAATATAGTTCTATCTAAACATAGTGTAAAACACATCAAATTATATTATTCATAGATTTATTTACAATGTATTTAAAAGTTAAAAAAAAAATTATTAGAAAACAGTCTGAAATCAAAGTGAATTATATTGCTTAACCCAGCTGTTACAGTTTGTTTGTATGTAAGTTTCTAGGCTAAACAGTGCTCTTTTAAAGAGACTGAAAGATTGAAAAAAAAAAATTTCTATTGAGAAAAAAAACTTTGGCTTATTGAAAATAAATCAAATCAAGCTCATAATCAAAAAATTTTGCCAAATTAAACATTTCAACACAATTTTCCAAGATATAACACCAAATAAAATTATGAATTAGGAATATTTCATAGTTTCTAAAAGATTTCCTTGATTTCTTTATTGAAACTAAATTATAAAGATATCTCAAAAAATTTTCAGTAGTCTTGTATCTTAGAATAGTAAACCTACAACAAAGAATAACAGAATAGAGCAATATTTCTCACAGAATTGTCATTTTTACAGTTTTGTTTTATATAATAATCATAAAAAAATATAAAAAGAATTCAAAACATGCAAATGAACAATCTATAATACTAATAAGAAACATAAATAAGATTAAAAATATATAAATGCATTCACACTTACAATAAAAGATTAATTAGAAATATTATAATTTATAATTAGAATTTCAGATAATAGTTAAATCGAAAAGAACTAAAAAAAAGCATACAAGAATAAGAAATTGGTTTTACCTTGTATGGATCAACAACTCTCAAATAAAGAACACCATCTATGTTTAATGTAACATTATCTAAAATTATAAAAAAAATACATAAAACTTACAAAAAAAACAACAAAAAAACCAGAAGTATTATAAAAAATAAACAAAACTTACAAGCATATACATAGTATTACACTACAAAACCGAATCAACAGTATAAAACAATAAAAAGTTCAACAAAAATATTATAAATTTAAAAAACCAAACTTTCAATATATCACTAGTTTCTTTCACATGAACTTTACATTCCTTATAACTTAGAGGAGAAAAAAAGTTTGTTTGTTTCTGTTTTTTAAGGTTGTTTGCTTTTTAAATGTGTGTTAAATATATTTTTCAATGATTGATTACAATGAATTGAGATATAGATATGATTGATTATTAAGCCTATACAATGCTAAATATTGTGATACCCAAGCATAATTTTAGACATAGAAGTTTAAAATATTCTTATTTCAGACTTATAACCCAAAATTTAAAAAAATTCTTGCAATTGAAAAAAAAAGTGGTAATTGTCAACAAAACTAGTAGTTATAATATTTCATACAACTCCTGAAATCGCAAATAGACAAATACTAAAATAATTAAGTAGCTACATGCAAGATATCTGCTACATTTTAGATTTTCAAATCCATGACTTTTCATGACTAATTCCAAGAATTTTTCATGACTTAACGAAGTTACTATTTTCTCTGACAAAAACGCAACAATAAATTAAAAAAAGCATTAGAATAACATTAATTGAAATGATAGGCATAACCGAAACTGTTATACTCTGCATCTTCATATTTATAGATTTTGAATTTAAAAAAAAAAAACAGAGTAAAGAAAGAGTTGAAGCAATAAAATAGCTGGAAAAAATACAATACAAGCAAATAATTCCTTTTTTTTCTGCAGAGCTATATTCTAAAGATACTTTTCCTGTTTATTGAAAAGGAAAGAAATACTCCTGATTTTTTTGTTCTCATTTCAGAATTTTAAAAAAAAATTGCCATTAACTCGCTTGCTTCTGCTAGAATCTTAAATTGATAAAATAAAAAAAAATAATAATGAAAATTCTGGAATCATAGAAGTTTAAAAGTTAATCCGCTCTAGAAATGATGTTTTTTCTTTCATTTCTTGAAAGAAAACCGTAATTTTTAATTTTTAAAGAACATGATAAAAACATTTTATATTTTAATAAAATATGACTGTTAGTGATGATTTAGTTAGAAATTCAGATATTCGGAACACCATGATATTAGGGGGGGAGGGGTAATTAATGCCATTTTAAAAATTAGATTCTTCAGCGACCTAAATCCATGACCTTCCATGATTTTTTTTAAAAAATAGTTAAAATCATGACATTTCATGAAAAAGTTTGTTCAATAACAAAGTTTGTTCAATGTTTGGAAATCCATGACTTTCAATGATTTTTCATGACTTTCCAGAACCGCGGATACCCTGTACATGCAACAACCAACATAGTAAAATTGCTTTTATGGAGAACTTTTTGATGGTACTAACCCGCATTTGAGTGGCATGGAGAGGAAAACCTCCTACGGTTAGCCTGACAGGAGGGGACTCTAATCCATGATCTGTCTACCACTGAGGATATTTTATGTCAGCACTGTGGTCGGTGCAAGCATGATGAGGAATTCATATCGACCAACAATTGCTAGGATTCAAACCCAGTTCAACCCATTTGAAGGCGAGCGCTCAATCCCCTGAGCCATTACGGCTCTTTATTAAAAATTGAAAGGCTCAAATATATTAAAATGGTTGATTAGATATGATCCCATCAACAAAAATTACAATATTGTTAAAAATTTGAAATTTGGCACAATACTATTTTTAATTGAATGACTAAAGAAGAGTTGAAATATTTTTCAATAAAAAATACAGTGAAAAAGCAGCAAACTGTTTTAGCACAAAAATAAATTAGAAGACAATCTCTTAGTTCAACATTTCAAAATTCTTTCATAATCCATTTACAAATAGAGCTCTATTGCATTTAAGGTAGGTAGGTACTTAAGTTACGTCGCACTAGAGCTGCACAATAATTGCTGCTATTGGCGACGGTCTGGGGGAACATCCCTGAGTATGATCCGAAGACATACCATCACAATTTTGATCCTCTGCAGAGGGGATGGTCTCCCTGCTTTGGTAGCCCGACGACCTGCACACGAAGTCGAGCACTTTACGGTAAAACAGTCTAATAAGGACTGATACCTTGCACCCGCAGTCCCTACACAGGCTGATCAAAGTGGTCACCCACCTGCTAACTGACCACAGAAAGTGATGCTTGACTTCAGTGTTCTACTCGGAACCGTGTCTTTACGATCATTCCACTGTGGGACACAATTTTTCTGATAAGATGGAAATCTTTCCAAATTTGCTTCAAGATAAAATTAGCACCCATCTTATAATATGACACAAAAAGCTCATTAGAATATTCTTATAGATTTAAACATTTAGCAAAATAAAATTTTTAAATATAAAAATTCATTACCTAGTGTAATTGCAGACTGCTTAGGAATATCTATGGCTAACTCTTTTAAACTCTGCACATATTTAACTCTATCAACTATAGGAATAAGGAAATTCAATCCCTAAAAATTAGTGAATAAATATACATTATTAATCAATTGTAACACTTCACTCTAATGATTATATAATATCTAAATAGTTTAAGGATAAAAAATATATCCTAAAACAAAATCTTTCACATAGATAAAAATAACACATAGGTCATATAGTTCTTAAAATCTTGTTTTTATTTGCATGATATATTTTTTAAAATGATGCATATAGCCGCACATTTGAATATTTACTTTTTACAATAAATCTATGCAGTTTTGCATATTACTTTTTTATACTACTGGTTTTCCACATGATTATTAAAATAGTAATTTTTTTTTTAATATGATAAAATGGTGGAATACATGAATATTTCAAACAACAAACTTGTAGTTCATTTGTATGATATTGACTTGATTGATATTGATTGTTAATGACTTGGTGACATGCTCGAGTGAACCCCACTTATGTTTGGTTTTTGTCACAAAGATAAATCCAAATTACACAAAAAAGGCTATTTCCTTAAAATTTGACCATCAAAATCTACTTCAGCCTGCAGTAAATCATCAAAATTATATACAGTGAAACCTACAGGAAAGATGTAGCCTCTATGTAGCTACCGCTTTCGAGAGGCACAAAATTTTTTCCGTAGACTTTGGGTTAAAGAAAACCTTTAGGACAGATCATTAAAACCTCTCCCAGCAACCAGGCAAACATCTGCACCAAGTGCGGAAAAGGTTGAATAAGGAAAAATTGCAAAACAAAAATTTAAAACAAAACAAATAAGCAGATTAAAATTTTTTATAAATATTTGAGTGAAGCTCATATTTAAAGAGCTCTTTTTCAGGATACAACCTCATGTTGCCGTCAGAGTGCACTAAAGGCGATGCTATCAATGATTTATTTTTAGAGTTGGAAGTTAAATTAGAAAAAAAAAGTTATTCAAAAAAAAAACTAAGCACTACAAAAAAAAATTCTCTTCTCATCTTTTAAAGCTAACTAATTTTTATGATATAAAACTAAATGCTCTTCTAAAGATAACTAATTTTTTTGATATATTAGTAAATGCAAACTTAAACAAAAAACATAATTGTTTATTTATTTAAAATAGCTTTATCATACATAATTGGCAAATTTGTTTTTACACATAATTATATCAGATTTATTTTTACACATAATTATAATTATATGATTATTTTTATAGAAGCTAAATTTTATTCATTGATCCATCTTTTAATGACGCCAACAAAAGTGGCAAAAATTACACTGATAACAATTTTGAAGTCAATGGAGGTAGCCTCTAAGAACGACCAACCTCCATCAACCATTATTTTACTGTGGAACAGAGAGTGATCACTCTGGAGAGGTTTCACTGTATTTCAATTAAGGAAGTGTCTAAAAAGAACAATATGTGGTATACTTTCAGAGTGAAGAAATATTCAATTGTGAAATGAAGTAAATAAGACAATTACACTGGTGTTCAAAATTAAGAAAATTTTATACACTTTGTTAATTATCTACAGAACCACTGAACAGATATTAATAAAATTTGGGTTGATATAATATGAAAATAATAACCATTCAACAATTATAATACACACGCATGATCGTATGTAACACCCATCAAAGTCGGATGGTATCAAAGAGTGGTTACAGAATTGAATTAAAAAAATGGTTTAATGGACACCAAAGGTACAAACATTTAGGACTCACACCAAGAATTCAAACTGGAAATAAAGCAGTTTATGAGAAACTGCAACAGTTTTTTTTCTTCTCACTTCTTCAGTGATGATTGTGAGCCCAAGTCAAAATTCCGGAAAATTTCTTGAGTTAAAAAAAAAAGTTTAAATTGAAAAAAATTTGAACAAGTTTTTTTCCCTCTTCCTCAATATCTCTTAGCTTACTTAAAATCTTTTTAAAATTTTACACATACTTATACCATTTACACATAACTATTATGACCTGGAGAAGTAATTAAAATTTACAAATATATCTTTCTTTCTTGAGTTTATGATTATAACAACTATTTACTGATAAAAAATGAATATTAATCATGAATATAAGCTTATAAAGTATCTCTCCGGCTCTCCATTACAAACAAATACAATAAACTGTGTTTTTAAGTTCCACCCTTGAAAATTTGATTTCCAGATGCTTCTGTGATCAATGATTTTTTTAAACGTCTGGACCTTCGATCTCCGGAAACTTCCGGATCACTGTTAGCGAAAATTCCGATAATCAGGATTTTTTCCGAAGCACAATCAGCCCTGTATATATGCTCTATAGGGTAGAGGTCTGGAGATATGGATGCCCAATCCATCTGGTAAATATCTTCATTTCAGAAAATAGTCAACTAAAATTGCTTTATGGTTTCGCATTGTCATCCATTAAAACGAAATCAGGACCACTGCACCCTTAAAAAGGCAAACATAGGGCTCCAAGACCTGATTCATACATCTCATACCAGTCACAGTACTGCTTTCAAAAACATACAGGGGCGTGCGGGAGTCCAGCATTATGCTGCCCAAAGTAGCAAACCTGACATACTGGTTGATTTCTAGGAATTAGAGGGCAGGTAGCTGATCCTGGTACCTCCACAAGAAAGTCAGTGCTCCGACTGAAGTGAGACTTATGAATAAAGGGAATATTTGGCCACTGATCGATTCTCCGATCTTGAAGATCTCTGTTCCATACTAAACAATCTCTTCTGTTGATAAAAACAACAGGCAAATAGACTCTCTCATGAAACATTCTGGAGACAGTAAACCTTGAAACTTGGCTTCCTGTGGCCGCATAAAGGTCATAAGATAGCATTCCAGTTACGCTTCACTGCAATCCGCAAATTCTAATCTTAATTGGCTGTTGTGGCGCCTAGTCGACCATGGCCATGCTTCCTGATGGCAAATCCTGAATTTCTGAATCCTGAAATTCTGTTTAAAAATTGCACTTGACGATGGGAGTTAAATTGAATTCTCTACAAATCTGTATTTCAGAGTCGTGATGGAATGAGATGGAATAATGAGCCGCCAGGAACTAGTGTATTCGCCTTCCAACGAGGCGAACTGGGTTCAAATCCCAGCGATGGTTGGTCAATAAGAATTCCGCATTCGGCTTGGATCAACCACAGTATTGACGTAAAATATCCTCAGGGGTAGACGGAACGTAGGTTAACGTGGAAGGTTCTTGTGGTGTTCCTTTCCATGCAACGCAAATATGGGTTAGTTCCATCAAAAAGTCCTCCACGAATGCAAAATTTCTTCCATTACTTGATCCAGGAGTTCCCTTGTCTTCTGGATTGGGTTAAAAATTACAATGCTACGGAGTTGAACATTAGTATTCGTAAACCCAAATATTGGGTTGGCTGTTCATCGACGGTTATAAAATGAAATCTGTATTTGAGACTGGCCTGCTTCAAGTCTTCCCCTATTTCGCTACCTTATTCCATCATCTAAACCTGATGTTTATTCAATTTTGTTTTTGAAAATTAAATTTAAAAAAAATCAGTCAAGATTGCTGAAAAAATAACACCAAGAAATTCAGCAGGATGTGTAAGATAACAAATATCAGATTTTGTAATGATAACTTTTTCCTCCACTAGCTCTGTCCACGCACACATCGATGCTTATGTATTAGACGCACAAGATCTTTATTTTGAAACAGTAGTTTTACATTTCATTCAGTTTTTCTTAGGAAATTCAACAAAATATGTAAAATTTAATTTAGAACATAGTGCAGTTTAGTGATTATGTATAAAAAGTACCTTTTTGTATTTACACTTCTATAACATCTATACTATTAGTCCTGTGGATTTGTTTTTAGTCTAATTCAATTCACCGTAAAATACTACAGAGATTCCAATGCATTGCTTATCCAATTAACTTTTTAGATTTTAAGTATGAAAATAAAATTTTTGACTAATACTGTGCGACTTTGAGGAGAACTCCTCCAGNTCTTCAATGTTTATTTATTTTGCTAAATCTATTGTTCATATAATAAAAATAGCAAGTTTTTTTTTTTGAATGAATTCTAATAATGGAACACTACTAAGTTATTGATATTACTAAGCTTATTGATAAAAAAAATGGAACGCTAATGTTTAAATAAACACTATTGCATTTGTCATTAACGTGTCTAAATACATGTGCGGCCCTTCGTTAGCCAACCTGCTGTGCAAGTGGCCCTTCACTCAAAAAGGTTGTGCACCCCTAGCTTATCCAATTAACTTTTTAGATTTTAAGTATGGAAATAAAATTTTTGACTAATACTGTGCGGCTTTGAGGAGAACTCCTCCACACTAAAAGTCTGGGGCAGTCCGCTACCATGGTAACAAGCGACAACATACCTGTATCTCTAATGGGGGTGAAATGGAAGAACGAATGTGTTGATTCGCTCACTCACCCCGACCTATGAAAGGATTAAAACAAAACTATTTAGCCCACACTCATATACAAAGTGCCATTTCATCGTAACCATAGTACCCGCCACTAGGCGAGACAGGTGCCTGGAGTTCTCCTGACAGCCGCAGTATACCTTTTTAAGCATTTTTAACTTAACTTCCTAAACCTCCACTATTATTATTAGAAAGTTCAGTCATCTAATCAGTTATGTCTACCTACTTAATTTAAGTAGATATATAGAGTAAAAAATTAAATGTCCATTTATCACTTCTAACACACTTAACAAAACTAATAACCATATTACTAGTAACAAACTTGCTATTTTTTACCATAATATTATCCAGCAAAGGAAATAAGGTATGATAAAATATTATATCAAGTATGTATAAAAATATGAATGACTATACTTTGACATTTTAATGAATGCAAATGAGTAATAATAAGAAGGTTGAATATCGATTTCAGAAAGGATCTTCATATCAGCACATTTCATTCAATTTCATATTCTTTTTTATTCATTTAATTTTTCTTTAGTAAAATAAATTTAGATTCTATTATTCAGGTTTGATACAAACTTTCTGAAAAAAGTTCTTTGACAGGTTTTTATCACATTTTTCAGATTTTTGTAAAAGGTGGCAAAAATGTTATTAATTTTCCAGTTATGCCCCATTTTTAAACATAAAATAAATTACAAAACAATTATGTATGCCATAAAAGTTAAAAACAAAAAATAATTTTTTTTTTTTTTAGAAAAAAAAATTGGATTTCTAATAATATCAAACATAAATTTATTCGTGTTTCTTGACTTTTTGAGTATTTAAGTCATATTCTCTGATATTTCCTTGATTTTTTTCAGATTGATAAGATTCCCTAACTTTTTCCAATTGTCCCTGTTCTGTGGCCACTCTCATATTACTCTTTTTATCTAAAATATGAAGAAAACTCTTAAGCATAAACAATTTTCCCAAAATGTGCAAGATATTTCAGTTTCGTTTTTTTTTATTTTTTTTTTTTAGTTAAAGCAAAATCTTTAAATAAAATGTTTAGACTTACAGGCTGTAATATTCTCTTAAATTTCCCCATTCTCTCAACAACCCATGCTTCTTGTTGGGGTACAAACATAATAATAGTGTTGAAGGGAGTTGACTGAACATGCCTCACAAAATCTATTTGCTTGAAAGGCTAAAATAAAACAAAATAAAGGTTATTTTAAGCATACATACAATAACAATTTAATATTTCAAAGCATTGAAACCTAATTTCATTTTGGATTATACCAATTCTGAAATACTAAAAGAAAACAAAAATAATTTTAAATCAAAATTATTAAAACTTCTATGGAAAAAACGCGCTTAAAAGCAGCAGAAATTTCACAAAAAGGATAAATGTAGCAATAAAGAAAACGAAGGAAATAAAAATAAATATATGACCACCGAAGCCGACGTCTTCAGGGGGTACCGGCCCCGGTAGCCATAAAACAAAACCTTTTCTATTGAGGGGGAGGCAAATGCCTAAAGTAACACCCTCAGTCCCGGACTTCTATACAAAACCTTCGGGGTACTGAGGGTGTTACTTTAGGCATAGACCAAAGTACCTACCTATATTATTATATTAAGTACCTACTAACACAATAAATAAAGAATCACTGACATTAAAAATAGTTAAGTAATTTTTTACACCTTTTCCTCAAAACAGACTAATATCCAGTTTTGTACAAAAATACTCATTGTACTTTAAATAGGATACCCATTTTAAAAACACCAAGCCTAAAACATAGGGGTCATATACATACCAAGACTTAATTTCTAAAATTTATATTTTTCCACACATATTATTTGATTCTGGTATAATTGAATAAAATATTAAATTAGGACTCTATCTTTTATTTATATTTAGTAATGCACATACCTTAATTCTATTTCAAATATAATTTTAGAAGCATTTGTAGCATCACTTTCAATAAAAATATATAATGAAAAGTGATTTGTGTATTTAAAAAATGGTAACTTTTAAAAAAATAAATTAATAACAAATAAACTAATAAATTTTAAAAATGGTAAAAAATGGTAAAAAAAGTTCAAAAACCCTGGCTTCATTTTATAACAAATATAAAAAAAAATTAGATAATTTTTTATGTACAATACTTATTATTACACTCTACAATAGGGGTGCACAATCTTTTTGAGTGAAGGGCCACTTGCACAGCAGATTGACGAACGAAGGGCCGCACGCATATTAGTCATGATGGTGGCAAATATAATTTTTATCTCAAAATTGGTGCTCTGAACAATAAATATTTTCATCAGTAAACTTAGTAACATATTTACCTAAAATTAAATACTTTAATTATTAAAATTCATTCAATAAAAAAAACTACTTTTTTTATTCTGCCTTTTTATTATTATATATATATATATATATAGAAAGAGATACTATAAACTCAAACAAAAAAAAGTATAATGCCCATAGAATAAATGCTAAATGCGTAAAAAAAACTGCATACATACTTATTTTAATGAGTAATATAAATTTGAACTAAATATTTTAAAGAAAATTTGTAAGGTTTAAGCAAAAATTAAAACCTAACTATTATAGTACATATTATGAATCAATATTTTGTGAAGAGGAATGAAAAGATTCTAAATTTTTACTATTAAAAGAAAAAAATTCTTGTGTTCAGAAGCTCTCGCGGGCCGCACATCAACAGTCAGTGGGCTGCATGTGGCCCTCGGGTGGCAGGTTGAGCACCCCTACTCTACAACTTAAATATTTTACTAAAAAACTGAAGAAGAAAAATTTTTAAATCTTACAACTTTTAAATTTAGAAGATATAAAATATCTGTAACAATGTCTAAATTAATAATCTTCGTATAAAAAATTTTAAAACACAAAAAAGGGATGCTAGAAACAAATTTATTTACTTACAAAAGGTAGAGATAATTTCTCCTTTCGAAATTCAAGCACTTGTTTAGATTGGGGACGTGATAAAATAGACATCAAGCGATAGCTTGTGGCAACATTTTTCATTTTAGTAATTTGGAAAACATTTTCCAATGTAAGTATTTTCTAAAAAAAAATAATGATAGTAAACATCAATGATATACAAGTTCAAGATACAGATTTCAATTGCAGTAAGCTCTTCTGATATCGACAAAATTGGGTACAGCATAGCAACCAGAGTTTAACAAATTTGCAGATAAATAACAAAATTACACAAACAAAATTCACAAAATCATCATTCAATAGTAAGGCAGATTATTAATTTACCAAAATGGCCAATTTTAAAATTATATTAAGTAAAAGTTTTGGGCATTCTTTTTTGGGGAAGTTGGTACTTATACACCTACTACTTCTTTGAGATGTGACTCATGACAGCATATAACAAGACCAACTCAAAGGGTAAAATTCCTTCTTTCTTACTAAATTTCAAATTTTTTTTCTTACTGTACTTAAAAACTACACTCTTTTCTTACTAAATTTTTGCAAGTTCAAAACTCCTCAGCAATTATAGTTGGCAGAAACAGAAACCAATTTGGATATATTTTCATTATTCTCTATGTAAAATCAGAAGAAAAGTATTCCATGGCCGAAAAAAAAATAATCTTCTTCTTCTGTTGACATGACATCCCTTTGTGGGCCAGAGCCTTCCCTAGAACCTTCCACCATTCAGCTCGTTTCTAAAAAAAATGATCTCAAATTGATAGTTTCCATTTCCGTAGTTTAATGCACTAAAACTTCATTCTTTTACTTAATTTTGAAAATTATATCATATTTATCATACAATATTTCTCTTGACCCAAATATTAACCGATTAAAAAGTTTGTCACAGGAAAAATAACAGCGCAACATTTAAATTTTAATGAATAAATTATAGATTCAAAATTGTGAGAGTCCTGCTTAAAAGATAAAATAATAATTATACTCTATAACAAATTATTTGGAACTCTCCATAATTATTTGGAAAGGAAGAAATAGGAAAATGATGACAAAAGAATTGAATTAAATCATTCATTACTGAACAAGGAAATACTCCAACTTTAGTGGTCAAAGCACAAAAGAGGTTTTAAACTTGCAAAAAAAAATTTAAAAAAAAAAATCATGCAGTTGTTTGCTTTGTGATGAGAACTAATTATAATGGAGATATTTCCGTATCATGATTTGTAGAATCAATTACAATAGCAGAGGAGCCAGATTTTAAACTTGGTAATTTTGAAAAAAAAATTAATTTAGATGTTTGCCCCGGGGGGGATGAGTTATGCTTTTTGAGTTAGTCCCTTTCAGTGATGTTTTTTTTTAGTTTCACATAGGTCATTGCCTGGAAGTTGCCAAAACTTGTCGATTAAGTTGATCCCCTTATCTGATGTTTTTTTTTTCTTCCTTCTTTGTTATTTCAGTTTCTCACATGCCACTTTACGGGAGACATCAAGAATAGGCACTTGTGGCGTAGATGCTGTTATGGTAATCTTCACCTGAACAATTACTTAAAAAATACATACAATGAATCATAACATGACCAACTCGTTTTTCGAATTCAACATATAATTGAAAACGTATTGAACATAATTGAAAAGTGCAAAACGTATAATTGAAATTATTTTTGCTTACACATTTGCGGTTCGAAACAAAAGCCAATAAATTTATACTTGTAAAATTTCATTATATTTCGAAGTGTTTATTTCACATAAGACTTTGATTAAAAATTCTATTGACTAGATCATCACTGGGGCTCATTCCATTTATAAAATTATTTGAGGGGGCTTGAAGCTAGCTTCTCAGTGCCCATATACGCACCTATACATACACTTTTCTTTCTTAATTCATACACTTTTATCAAAATTAGTTTCAAATATAGATTTAAACAAGAAAAAACCAACACTATTAACACTACACTACAATGATGCAACTTAGCAAAACAAAAAGTAACATACATTATGAAACCGGCTTCTTTGTACAAATGTAACAACAGGTAACATTTTAACAACAGAAAGGAGTGATTTAAATGAGCAAATTAAATTATTTTCATAAGACACAGCTCGCTAATAATATTTAATAAATAAAGTTTCTACACAAATCAAAAAAAATTATTTTATAAATTTATGTTTAGAGTTATCACGCTTTTGGATGTCTATTTTTGTCCACTTTCGGCCAAAATCATGAGAACGGAGAGTTTCTGAATAAAATAAGCTATTTTGTTTTTCCCAAATATATAATTCGTTAAAAGTGAGGAATAGTTATTTTAAAAAGCAAAATTAAAATAATACAGGTGAATAACTAATTTATAACGATGAAAAATTTCAAACATTATTATTTTGAATTATTCGACAAAAATCAGAAATTTATTTGGCAACGTTCACTTATTTTAATGTTTATGATTCGCTGAGAAAAGTGATTTTTGTGTTTCTGAAATTCAGATGTTTGCAAAAACGCTTAAAAGTGTGCTGAAAATGGATAAAATGATAACTTAGAAAAAAACTCCATAGATCTTATGCCAATGTTCCTACGTATCCTACCCCCAACGTTTTAAGTCTATAGTTATAAATGCCTAGAGAGAGAAAAACTGCTGCAAAATTCAAAGGTATAGGGATTGTGGAATGCTTATTTATAGATCTCTTCTATCAAGAATTGATCAAAACATTTTTATGGAAATCATCAAATAATCTGAACGATAGCACAGTCAACAATCTTCAGTTATCGAAATCGTTTATCCGGTCTATTTTTTTAAGTGTGGTGTCAAAGTTGTCAATTACAATTCTACTTCTTTATGTTTAAATAAATGTCACTGTGTTGCAAAATAGAAGAAGAAATTTATTCAACATTATTCATGGCTCTAATGTAGTATCGAGGGCTCCTTGGTTTGGCAATAATTTTCATTCACTTTTATCAAAATCCCATTTCTGGTTATTATAATATACTTTGCAGACTTTGCTTTCAATGAAGTCAACTTCAGGTTACCGCAACTTTAGTTTAACTTCATGTGATTGGCTCGTAGTTTATATATTCGTTTATTTTCAAATTGCCATAAATAAAAGGGCCCCTGATTGTAAACTATTACCTTATTCATTTTTTTTAAAAATTGTCTTTATTAAGCTATTTAATTTATTTACTGATGTAATGATAACTTTCACTGTTTATCAGGAAATGTGCATGTTTCTTACCCAAGTATTAGTTACTTGTGAGGATATTTCCAGATTGCGATCTGTTGCACCTACTACAATCCCTAAGGTCCAGGGGTAGCTACGAGTTATACCTTTCGAGTTGGTTACTTTCTATGATTTTTTTTTTTTAGTTTATTCCGGACCACTGCTTGGAATTTCAGAGACTTGCCGATTATTCTGAAACAGATCACGTTACGGAAATTTCCCACTTGTTCAGACTAACTTCAATTGCCAAAGGGGTTTTAAAAAAGAAATGTGTAAAATAGCTTGGAGTTACAATATTTCAGTTGGTCTCCTTTTGTTTTTTTTCTTTTAGTTTTTCATGTTTCACTTCTGGGATTTTGTTGATAATTTTGGCGGCACCAATAAAGATGCACAAATTTTCGCTTACTTTTCTTTATGTGCTTCTGTTTAGGTAGACAAATGGTATATTATGTCAAAATTTTGATATTGATACTTTCACAAAGAAAAAAAAATTAATAATTTCCAAGGCTTGGTGATTATTCTGCCACAGATCATGATACGGAAATCTCCCCGTTGTTTCTTCGAAACGTTTGGTTATTGTTGATTAGTTTAAACCCGTTAGCTTCTTTAAAAGTTCAAAAAAATTTTAAACTTTAAGTTTAAAATAAAAATAATTAACTTTTGTAATCTTATTCAAGTATACCTCACGTTTATGATGTTTTGGTTCTTTGTCAATAATCAAAATGAAATATTTTATAGGCATCAAATATCAATCGTATGCAATACTTTTCTTTTTGGCGACGGTTATGAAATAAAATATCATATTTAATGCTTACACCCGATGATAGTGAAGAAAATGAGCAAAAAATATTGGAGGATATACCAACAACCAATGGAATGTTTGTAAGCAAAAGTCTGAAATATTTGTGAATGTAACCCATTAAACAAATTTGCAAACAGTAGTAAGTATTGAGAGAAATATTATTGAAATTGTATCCAAAAACAAAAAAAACATTTAAAGATTACACAATTAGCTTGTTTTATCGTTAGTCAGATGAAAAAGGTAAAATCGGTTTTCCACTACATTTTAATTTTTGTTACTTTCATATTGCAATATATTTCATTTTATAACCGTTGTTGAGCAGACGACCCAATTTTGGGTTTACGACTACTGATGTTTAACTCTGTAGCTTTGTAATTTTGAACCAATCCAGAAGGCAAGGAAACTCCTGGATCCTGAGGTATGATTTGTTATGGTGTCATGGAGGACTTTGTGACCCGTCATATATTTAATGTGCATAAATCACCATTTATTAGTCTTCGGCCGGTGGGGATCGAACCCACGACCTCTTGGACCTGGGCGCAGTGCCCTACCAACCAGGCTATCCTGGCCCCATATTATAATGTAAGGATGGAGAGCCATGTTTTTAGGCACAACAAAATAGAACATTTGCTTATGGTGGAAAGAATTTTTGAGATACAAGTGGTCATACTTTTAAATCTTATTTTCTTTATATAGATTGTGAATCATTATCAAACATTTTGACTTGTGTCTACAAAAGTGTTATGACAGGAAGTGTAATTTCAATTACATTTGAAATTACACTTCCTGTCCACTATTTTTTCAATTAATTCTTCAGTATGAATTCTTTTTTTTTTAAAAAAAATATATTTATTGCTTAATTTCTTTTTCTCTGCAGGGGATCCTGATGGCCCCGGGGAAATAAAATTCCCTGGTCAGCCAGAGAGTCCATCAACAAAAAAGCGAAGAACTGGGGGTACTCCAAACCAGGTCTATTTTTTTATTGTACTTACTGATGACTTATAAATTAATGTTTATTTTGCTGGTTTAAGATTTAATGTTTCCAAATCTAACTTTCCAACAGTGTCTGTTTAATTATGTAGAATTATATTAAGGACTCAAAATAAGAATGCTTAAACATCACAACACATGACAACAAATACAGTCAGTAGCCAAATTATTAGACGCGCTATAAGATTCTATGTAAAATCTTAATTATCATGTGATACTATAAGTTTATTGTTTTAACGCAACTGAAACCAGTCTGCACTTGCTTACGTGCGTGTATCAGTTGGTTAACATTGTAATGCAATACGTTAAAAATAAATACAAATGGGAAATATATAAAAAGTCTCCTGAATAAAAACCTATTACATGTATGTTTAAATATAAAAATTACACACCTAAACTCGTGCAAAACATGTAATTATTAAAAATCTACAGTGCATCTAATAATTTGATCTAATTATTACAATATAAAAATATAATACCTGATAAAATAAATATTCTATATTTATGTAATATATTGTCTCATTTATCCAATCTCTGAATTTATATTATATATCGTCTAATTTTACCAAGTGATACACGAGCATACACAAGTGCAAACCGGTTTCAGTCACTTAAAAACAATAAAGCTGTATAATATCACCTGATAATTAAGATTTTATATAGAATCTTATAGTTCGTCTAAAAATTTCACCAGGGATTTAGTAGATATGAAGCTACTTATAGATAGATACATGGAAACAAAATAAAGAGAAAACTGAAGAAAATTATTATTGGGTGAAAATTTTTCCATCTCGTGCGAGTACTGAAAAATTAAAGCAAAATTTTTGTGCTTTTAACTCGTTTCATTGTTTTCATCTGTATTGTAAATTCTCACCATTGCTATCTCAGATGTGCTAACTGTTACAATTTATCTGTAATTGTTGCAATTTCAGGGTCAAAATTATGCTTTAGAAATAATCTGCTAAAAAGTTTTTTTTTTCTCCTTTAACTACCAAGAGGTTTATGAGTTTAACATGCACTCTTTTTGTTGTATTTTGATTTTTATTTCAACCAAAATGTGTAATGTCACAATTCTTGTCACTCCCGTCCTTCCCCTTGTCACAAACTAACAATTTCATGAACTCCCACCTCGACACTTGACATCATTTGTGGATGATTTATTGGTCTTCTCTACAAAATAATCTGACAGTAATCTTTATTTTATATAACATTATTAGTGGATAATCGAAATAATATACAATATTGATCTTTAAATGGTGAATATTTAAAGTGAAAACTCCTGTTATGGACACTCCTGTGAAACGAATGCCTCTCAATACGGACATATTTTTTATTCCCAGTGAATCCTCTATGAATAAACCATTATGTACATTCTTCCCAAAACGGACACTCCCATAACCGGACACGGACAGTCATCTTTGCCCAGAAACGTTATATTCTACCTCTTCAAACCAGACACTATTTTTTCTAAATTTGGAAGAGGAAAAAAAACTTTTTCTGCTTTAAATTGCAAGAAAAAAAAATTTGCAACTTTTTACCATTTTTTAAATATGTAAATTTTTTGCCTTCTTCATAACTAAAAATATTGTTAAGCTATTTCACTACTAAACAGGGCCGGATTACCCATTAGGCTATGGCCTGGGGGGCCCCTTAAAATGGATTCTTTGAAAATAAATTTTAAAAAATTAAGAAAAACAATGATTTTTCAAATTTTTTCAAAATTTTATGATTATTTTTTACCTCTAATTTAATAAAATAAAGTAAAATTTAATTTATTATTATTTTTATTTTAAATATGCTTTCTTAAGTGAAAAGATAAATAAATACTTTTATATTTGAATAAATAAAAAATGTACAAGAAAAAAATTTAATCTAAGGGCCCAAAAAATTTTAATGGCCTAGGGCCCCACATACACTTAATCTGGCCCTGCTACTACAGAATCAATCTTTTTCCTGTCACCTTTCTTTATCTTTGCAAAAAAAGGAGAGAAAATGATACTGCTCATTTGAATAGTGCCATCTATTGATCTTTTCATCTGGACGACATAGGTTATGAGACCCCACAAGCTGAAATGCTGTCTTAAATGCTCTAAATGCTTCTTCCCCACTGAAAATTTCTAATAAATTTGAAGGCTGTATTTATTTATGAACATTGATTTTTTTTGTTTTCTCTTAATTGCGGGAGGTTTACTTTCAAGGAGGTATTAACCCTGTTTAGGGTTGCAAGTTTGTCGCGGGAAAGAAAAAGAACCAAAATTCGCAGGAAATTTTAAAAATTACCCAGATTCTAAACATAAAAAAATTTACTTAATAAATGATGCAAAAGACAGAAATTGCACAAATAATAAAAAAAAAGCCTAAAAAATGCACAACAAAAGTATTTATTTTAATTTCAAGCAATATTTGTATTTTTATTTAAATGAACATAATTTTGTGCGTTGTCAGATTATTCTCATTTATGGTTCGTCTTTCGTCACTTAATGCATTTTTATACTTAGAAAACGATCTTTCTGCTTCCACGCTGTTTGTTGGCACCGACAAACATCGAATAGCCAATTTTGGATCGCTTTCAGTCTTTGATTTCCAAAACTCGACCAATTTTCCTTCATCAACTCACAATTCCTTGGCCGTTGCTTTGTAAGAAGTAATTGCTGTGAAAACTCAACATTCTACATTCAAACTACTAGTTACACAAGTACTAGTAAAGTACTAGTAAACTACTAGTTAACTACTAGTAGTTACTAGTTACTTATCTCCCTCTCATCTAAGAAACTGATCCCTATTTAAGAAATCACAAGAAGCCGTCCAGGAAAAATTGCCTGGACATGTAGAAAGGCAGTAGAAATTTCATTGCCCAGTGCAATTGCCTATGTTACAATTTTTCTGACAAAGATTTGATTTATAACATTTTCCTTCTTTTGTGGTTTCAATTTCTTATGTACTCTTACTGACTTCAGGAAGGTAATCCTATCAGTCTATTGCCCTCCCTAAGTGTAGAAAGACCACCTTACATGACAAGATTTACGGTGTTAAACTTTGTTATTAAGGTACCCTTACCGTAAGCAGACAATTTCTCGGCCCAAGAGTTCCCGCTTAACTGAGGTTACACTGTACATATTCAGTTATGTATCGGTTACATTATATAATCTTTGAATGTTTGTCAGAAAAATTTATTTTGTTCTGTTTGCTGTTTCTTTTTGCTTCAATTTAATTGAAATTTCAGATCAGTCCAGCGCAACCAGATTTTATTCCACCACCACCATTAACTGGTTTTGGGGAAACAATTGTTGCAAGCAACCCTTTTGATGACACCGTACCAGCAGCAACTACCACTTCAGTTCCCAATATGCCTATGCCTAATATGACGCACATGTCTGGCCCACCGATGCACACCAAACCTGTTCCAATGTCATCTGGCAAGGTATGGAAATAACTTTATTAATAATATTTTACTTTTTTTGCATTATGTAGAAATAGTGAAATTCAATATTAACCATATAGCTTTGTTATACACAATTATACTTTGTTATATTTTAAAAGAAGCCCATGCCCACTTGTAGTTGCTGGTGTCACTTGACATTACATTAACCAATTATGACACTGCAGAGTGCATTCCTGTCAAGTCTCCTGTTTTTTGAATGCAGACTCCCATATTTTACGATTATCTCCTGTTTACCCGTATTTTCTCAAGATTCTCCGTATTTTTTAAAAAAAAAATTTTTATAATTTTTAAAAACATTTATAAAATATCTGCATGGTGCGTAGCATTTTTAAAAAGAGCTTAAAGGTACTTATTTTCGATTTTCATTCTTTAAAAGCCCTAAAAGGTCCATTTTTCATTGAGTGTTTTTAAAAAGTGCTTAATTTTCCTATCGAAAAAAATTTTTTTTTCTTCTTTACCACGTCTACTTTCGTCACAAATTATAGAAAAGCGTGTTTTTCACATTGTTCTATTCAACTTTTTCCCAATTCATTCACCACAATCTATTTTGGCGTACCATCGGTCCTTAGCATATGAAAGTGCCAATCATTTTACATTTATGATTAAATACTTGCGGATCCGCATATGCATCTACTGAGCTAGGTTCAGTGAGATTCTTGCACTCTCAGGTGCAACTCTGCTGCATTTTGCAAGATATTCTCAATTTCAGGCTTCATTTTCCATCCTCTGATATCAAACCGAAGAATCTCTTGATCATTTTATAATGGTTAATATAATCGAGAAAAGAGTTCTTTGTCAGAAACTAGTTATTTTATCATGATCATGTCTAGTCTGAAAATTATTTCGTGTTTTGTTAATGTATAAAGTGCTTAAAAATATTTTTTGAGTGCTTAAAAAATACTTAAAAGGGGCTTATTTTTTGTCGAAAGATATAGCTACGCATCCTGATCTGCCAATTGCAAAAATACTTCTATTCCTCAACAGCCAGTTCTGTAGTTTGGCCAGTTCTGTAGTTCTTGGGCTCTGTTACGCCGACAAAACCAGATGTATTGAGACTGCTTGTGTGATTCGTTTATTCAGTGAATTGTTTCTTTTTTTCCTCCGATGAGGAACATATTATTTACTTACAGGGATCAGGCTTCGTTTGTGTGCATTGTATAGTTACCAATCGTCAGAACAAAAATGCATTTCTTTTTTCAGAATTATTCATTGTGGGTGTCAGTCGAGCAGCTAGTGAATGAACTGTATTAAAAACAGTTAAAAAAATATTACAGATCTTTTGTTAAGATAATTTTCTCTAAAGTAAAAAAAAATTGCGTCGAATTTCGCTCATCACTTTCTGATGAAAAGCTTGCTTTTGATAAAAAAAAAAA